TCTGTCTTTGTCTCTCTCTCTCTCTGTCTGTCTTTGTCTCTCTCTCCTTCCTTCTCTCTCCCTTTTAACAGTGCTAGAGACCAAACCCAGGGATTTCACCTATTCTTAACACATGCCCTACCACTGATCAACAGTTTTAATTGTTTTTGTCAGTCCTGGGGCTTGAACTATGGGCCTGGGTGCTGTTCCTGAGCTTCCTTTGCTTAAGGTGAGTGCTCTAACCACTTGAACTGCAGCACCACTTCCAGCTTTTTTGAGTACTTTATTGGAGATGAGTTTCAAGAAGTTTCCTACCAAGAGCCTCAGATCTCAGCATCCTGAGTAGCTAGGATTACAAGTGTGAGCCACTGGTGCCTGACTTTAAGTGTTTAAGATTAAACAGTAAATTAGAAGAAAACATAAATGTTTTCTAATATAATCTTAAAAGGAAGATCTTTTCATAAAATTCAGTGGCAAGGGCACTGTTGACTCATAACTGTAAATCTTAACTACTCAGGAGGCTAAGAGCTGAGGATCATGGTTTGAAGCTAGCTCAGGCAGGGAACTCCCTGAGACTCATCACCAGAAAGCCAGCAGTGAAATTGTGGCTCAAATTAGTAGAGTTCTAGCTTTGAGTAAAAAGCCCAAGGAAACGCACAGGCCCTGAGGTCAAGCCCCATGACAGACAAAAAAGAAAACAGAAAAAAAATCAAACAAACAAACAAAAAAACCTCAGTAGCAAGAAAAGATGCTAAACTTGACTGCATTAAAAACAAAGCCAATGGTGGTGATGTGTTCCTACTATAATCCAAGCACTCAGGTGGCTGAGGTTGAAGAATATTGAGTTTGAGGGTCAATATTGGCTACCTGTGAGCCTATCTCCACAAAACAAAAACATCTGGGTGCCAGTGACTTAATACCCATAATACTAGCTACTCAGGTGGCTGAGATCTAGGGATCACAGTTAAGCCAGTCTGAGGAGGAAAGTACTTGAGACTTTTATCTCCAATTAAGCACCAAAAAGCCAGAAATAGAACTGTGATTCAATTAGTGGAGCACTAACCCTTAGCACAAAAGCTCAGGACAGCACTCAGGCCCTGAGTTCAGGCCTCAGGACTGGCACCAACCAATAAATAACTCAGATCATATGGCAGAAAGTTTCATAAAATCAAAAATGGAAAAAAAAAAAAGCAGGGTGTTGGTGGTTTACGCCTACAATTCCAATTACTCCAGGGATTGATATCTGAGGCTTGTGGTTTGAGGCTAGCCTGGGCAGGAAAGTCCTGTGTAACTCTTATCTCCAGTGGTTATGACTCATTTTATGACCTTCAGTCAAAAATGAGAAGTAGAGCTGTGGCTCACAGTGGAAGAGTGCTAGCTTTGAGCAGAAGATCTCAGGGACAGCACCCAGGCTTGAGTTCAAGCCCCACAACTGACCTTAGAAAAGTGGAAAAGAAATCAAAGAAAAGGGCAATTATCTTCCCATAAGAGTCTAATAGAAAACTAGTAAAGATTCTAGAATGTTCAGTAAAGAAAACAGAAATGATTCTTACACACATGATGAAGTTTTCTTTTTTTTTTTTGAGTTCATATGTTCCTTTTTTCTTTTTTTTTTATTATTATAAAGGTGATATATAGAGGGGTTACTGTTACATAGTCTAGTAATGAGTACATTACATTTTTTTTGCCAGTCCTAAGACTTGAACTCAGGGCCTGGGCTCTGTCCCTCTGTGCTAAGGCTAGTGTGCTCTACCATTTGGGCCACAATGCCACTTCTGGCCTTTTCTGTTTATGTGGTACTGAGGAATGAACCCAGGGCTTCATGCATGCTCGGTAAGCACTCTACCACTAAGCCGCATTTCCAGCCCCAACATTACATTTTTTTTTTGGGTCCGGTCGTGGAGCCTGAACTCTGGGCCTGGATGCTGTCCCTCCGCTCTTCAGCTCAAGGCTAGTGCTCTACCACTTGAGCTACAGCGCCACTTCCGGCTTTTTTTCTTTTGTTTATGTGGTGCTGAGGAATTGAACCCAGGGCCTCATGCATGCAAGGCAAGTGCTCTACCACTGAGCCACCTTCCCAGCCCCAACATTACATTTTTTATTGCACAGTGTTACCCCTTCCCTCTCTCTCCTTCAGTTTTTCCCTCCTGTCCTTACCCACAAATTCATTTTCAACATAGTGTCTAGTCTAGTGAGTACCATTGATGCATTTGTTTTCTTCCTCCCTCCTTCTCTCTCTCTCTCTCTCTCTCTCTCTTTCTCTCTCTCATGTGTTAGTGAGGCTTGAACTTGAGGGTCTTGACACTGTCCTGTAGTGTTTTGGGTTTTTTTTTGGTCCATCATGGGGCCTGAACTCTGGGCCTGGGCACTGTCCCTCAGCTCTTCAGCTTAATGTTAGTGCTCTACCACTTGAGCCACAGTGCTCTGGCTTTTTCTGCTTATGTGGTGTTGAGGAATCAAACCCAGGGCCTCATTCATCCAAGGCAAGCGCTCTACCACTGAGCCACCTTCCCAGCCCTGCTGTCCCTGAGCTTTTGTGCTCAAGGCTAGTGCTCTACCATTGAGAATATCAGACCCACTTCCAGCCTTTTTGATAGTTGATTGGAGATAAAAGTCTCATGGACTTTTGCTGCCTTGGTTGGCTCCAAATCACAATCATCAGATCTTAGCCTCTTGAGTAGCTAGAATTACAAGCAGGAGCCACTCATGCCTAGTCTCTTGTCCTGTAGTTGTTTGTTGTTGTTGTTGTTATGGTTTTGGTTTTGGTTTTCCCTCAAGGCTGCTGCTCAACCACTTGAACCACCGTTCTACTTCTGGCTTTTTTTTGGTGGTTAATTAGAGGTAAGAGTCTCCAGATGGGCTGGAGGTGGCTCAGTGGTAGAGCGCTTGCCTTGCATGCCTGAGGCCCTGGGTTCAATTCCTCAGCACCACATAAGCAAAAAGAAAAAAGCCGGAAGTG